GGGATAGAGAGCTTAAGATAAGATGTGAGCCAAGATAATTATCTGAGATAAGATACATGGTGGTAAATATCGTCTACATAGTCTAAAATCAGAAAGAGCCTGTAGCCCCTTTTAAGACGAACCCATGTTATTATAAGGCAGAAGCTTTTATGAGAGGCAACTCACTTCATCAGATGCATGGAGCAGCTTGACTGATGGAGGATTTAAATACAGAGAAATGAGGCCATGAAGGAAAAAGGGAGGGAGGGAGGGAGGGATAGGGTTAGTTATGCAGATGAAGATTCAAGGGGGACCGATGAAAAGTACCTTGTCAACAACTCTAATATGTTAAAAAGCTTTCAGCAGCAGAAGAGGCTGCGTTGGGTGGCGATGGATATTCTTTGCTGGGGATGATTAAACCATCTGCCAGGGATGCAGCACAGAAGTGAGACTAAATGATCTCTCAGATCCCTTCTAACCGTTGCGATCTAGGGCTTGATGAAATTACAAGGGAGTAGATTTCAAATGGGAAAAAAAATGTCCTAATGGTAATGCCTGGAGAGTTGGTGGCTTCTCCTTCACTGGAGGTGTTTCAACAAAGGCCAGATGGACATCTGTTGGGATGCTGTGGTTGTGGGCTCCTGCACTGGGCAGATGATCTCTACTAGGCTGGATTGGATCTCCAAGATCTCTTCCAACCTTCCCATTCTAGATTCTACGACTTCTGGTCAACTACTACAAAGGCCAGAAGAGGCTTCCCAGCACAGCATCCACAAACTAATATTCTGCTTCTTGGATGTGTGGTGAAGGTTTTGAAGCTATGCCAAGTGGCATCTCAAGGGTTTACATTGCCTCTTTGCCTTCATGAGAATTGAGTTGCTTCTGTGGACCAGAGGGTCCCCTTGAAGCTAAGCCCAAGAAAATCCAAACTAACAGGGGGAGGAGAAGGGGGAGGAAGAGGAAGAGGAAGAGCGGGAGGAAGAAGGGGAAGAAGAAGAGGAAGAAGAGGAAGAATAAAAGGAGGAGGAAGAGGAGGAAGAGGAAAAGGAGGAAGAGGAAGAGGAAGAGGAAGAGGAGGAACATCCTACTGCTGCCCCAATAATGGTCTAATTTTTTTAGAACTGGCTTAAATGTAGTTGGGAGCATTCCAACTTCTTCACCGAAAGAATGAGAAGAACTGACTGAAGCAATCTGAATGTAGGAGAAAAAACAGGATCGACTCATAGATCCAGACCAAGGATTTTTGAAAGTCTAAGTTGAATGCTCACATTCTCCTCCACCTCCTCTTCCTCCTTCTTCTGCCTCTTCCACATCTTTAGGTCATAGCATTGATCTACAACCTATGTAGGGCTATATGAATTGGACCAGGCAAGTGGAGAAGAATTCCACTGAGTCTGCTTCCAACAAGAACTTAGCTTTACAAACGTGCATTGCCACCCCCATCCCCAAATAGTAGAAAGTCTTTCAGGAATGTTTCTAAAAATGTGGATGGAAGTGAAGCTTGCAGATCTGGCTACCTTTATTTCATGACTGAAGTTCACCTCCCTAAGAAGTGTTGACCACTCCCATGCCCTGCCCCAGTTGTTGGGGGATTTCAGACCCTGTTCTCCCTCCCTCTCTCCCCACCCCCCAAAATTCAAGCCCAAGTTTTTCATCTGACACATTTCCACTCAGCGATTCTCTTTTGGACTCGACGGGCTTGGCGGAAGAAGTCGATCGCAGCAGGAGTTTATGTGGGGAGAACATCTTACCTATGCGATTACTAAGAATCAACACCCACTTGATGGCCCTTAATCAAAAATCAATCACTCTCATCCTGTTTGGGAAGCAATTGGACCTCCTCTTGTAATCACTCCATGCAGCCATGCGGGCGGAGATGGCTTTCGTGTTGTCCTGAAGTCACGCCAATCTTTTCCCCCCTGTGATGCTCCATGCGTGCTCTTCGCAGCATGGAATTGTTTGGAAACATGTGGTACAGGTCTCATATGCGCTGGAATAAGTGCCTCGGCGCTTCTCTAGGGGTTCTTCTTCTCTTGGAGGCGGCTGCTTCGGCGGGGGGCTTCAATCTTCT